CAAAAAACATGAAAAGCGGGATATTTGTATATAAAAAAAATATGATCGTTTTTATAAAACCGTTTTCTTATTAAGTAACGATAAAATTGATATCTACGTTATAAAAAGTTCAATGATACCAAACCACATACCAAAATTTTATGAGGCCATATTTCCTTGATAGGTACGAGAATTTTTTATTGCGGCGTTGGTATCACGTAGGTGGAAAGGCTTCGAATCAAATATTAACGTTATTCCTTTTCTATTCACAACAAGGCCTTCGTTCACCTTGGTAACTTCGCTTATAAGGAAACACATAGCAATTAGAACTGTAGGATTATTTGTTTCAGGTTTGCCAACATTAAAATCGAAACCTTACACGTAAAACAACATAATAATTCTTATAAAAATTTATTATTTAACAATTAGACGCATTCTATAATAACCACAAAAGAAAATTTAAACTTTATTAGAAAATGTAACTTAAAATTAAAAGTTACATATTTGTATAAGTAGGAATAACCTACTTCATGCGAAACCTGAAAGTAATTTGTTCAGAATCAGTTGTAGAATCCATTCCAGTTTTTATACCACGTTATATTTTTTGTCAAAATTATATGAAATTTTTGAACATCCTGATGATGCCGTCCACACGTGATGGCGAAACGTCGAGAACCTCTTCTCGCTCACGTCGGCCGAACAGCCCGAAAGACAATGATATAATATCTATGTTAGCAACAAAATGGTATCTGCATCACAACAAGAAAGCATCATTAATAGAATAAAAACGAATCCCATTCCATTAAAATGACGATCTTCATTAAGGTAACCCAGATTGTGAGCCCGGAAAAATCTTTTCCAAAACTATGTCAAGCTTATTTTAATGAATGCATTTCAAAATATCGCAGCGCAGCCCTAATTAACATTTGACCTGGAAATCTTTTCATGTCAGCTTTTCAAAATGGCTGAAAAAGAACTATCGACGGTTTACAGCAATTACAAGTTTTATGAAAACGTACATTCGAACCGGATTTTAATTAATGGTAGAGCTATAGAGCTTTGTTTTTGCGTCGTTATTTTAAATGAAAAGAACATTCAGCGGATACTGGTATATTAATAACTGAAACAGGAATAATATTTCCATTCAAGGCGGGTTTTAAATCATGTTGAAATGCAAACGACCAAAGCACTCAAAAGTATCGAATATTTAAATTGTTATTGTGACTTACAAAACCCATAGGCGGTAAATAAATACAATATTAAAATTATTAAGGACTTATATTATGAATTATAATGACAAGTAAGCCAGGGGTATATAGGTATTTAGAAAAAGAATATATATCTGTTTACCACCTACTGAGAGAATTAAAATATCCACTGGTACTTGTCTCATATTATGTCGTTCAAATCATTTTCCAATTTACACCTCTTAGATTAATATTAATGATCTACCCAGGTACAAAGGCGTATTGCCTTTGAGTTAAGCGCGAGAGGTCCTGGGTTCGAATCCCGGGAAACAAAAAATTGTTTCGGTCGGGTAGGACCCAGAGAAGTCTGATCACTACTTGCCTACTTACCTGTTAAAGAATGGATCAATGACACACAAATGTGTTCGCCCCATGCCCCACGAGGGGTAAACGGGATTTCACAGACATGAGAAATTGAGTACTGTACTACACACTACGAGAATACTTTGGTCAAGTTTTAGGTATAATAGAATTTAGTAATAAGTAATAAACGAAATATAGTTTAATGTGTCAGCAGATTATCTGTTGTTACACTAAACTTGTTATACCATTACCGTACGAGTTCTATAGAGATGCTTTATATTTCTCTCAGAGGTCTATACTGTGGGGTTTAGTTGGTTTAAGTCTGACATAACCTATTTGCTCCGTTTGTTGCGGTGGGTATCCAAAAGTATTTCCCCACGTTAAAAAATATTTTTGTATTATATTAAGATACGATTTCATCAAATTAATTATTGTGAAGAAAAGCATGTATATTAAACCTGAGTATATATAGGTATGCATCTTAATTTATTTAAATAAAACACTTTAACGGTTTAAAACGCGAGATAGGAGGTAAACTCTCTGTAACATGGCTTCTGCAAACATCCGAGACGTCGGGCCGAAGTTAAAAATCATTTTCACAATAGTGTTAACAATGTATTGGGTTTTAAACCGGGAGGTTAAAGTGTTTTATTTAAATGTGTAGTACTCGCGTAAACTATAGACAGTATCTTAATTTATTGTTAAATCGAAAATAGTACTCAATAACTCGGCCAAACTTTTTGTTTTCAGAAGTCGGAAAAGTTATCAATATAAAGCTTAGAGCCAAACAGACAAAACGATTCGTTCAAGTGTAAATAAAAATCAAGTACAAGTGACTTTATTGCTTCAATGCCCACTCGAAGTGGATAATTATTTTTAATTGTCGCTGAGAATTTTTGCGAAACGAAACAATGGCGTCGGCCTGTCGCTACGGCGTTGTTTTTGATCTTTTGTTCAACTAAATTCTTATTGTTGGGGACGCTTTGCAGCTTCTGCTAAGTCTTCTGTTGTGCTACTGATTAATTTCGTTGCTATCACTTGCTAAACGAACGGCCTTTATTGTTAATGACGTGGGTATTACGGTATGGGCAATAATCGACGAGTCATGAGTTCGACTACACCATGATTCTGAAACGTGCTACACTTCGTCTGGAATCTGGATATTTAAGTTTAATCGCGTTTGGCTTTCAGTCTTATTCTGAATATACAAAACTATAATAGATCGACAGCGCATCTTGTTCAGACGTTTTATGGCTGGGGTATTGCTAAACTGTGGGTTGACGGTCTTTAAACAGTACCTCCAATGTCAAGTTCCTCTTCTATATAAAGAAATGCTTGATTCCTTATGTTGTTTATAATTAACATAATAATTCAGCACTTTTTTTATTTTTTTGAAATTATGTTCTTCGTACCTGTGTGAAGCGGAATAACACATCAAAGTTAGGCAAAAGCTATCATGTTTCCTTGTTAACTTCGTATATAAAACAAAGTCACTTTAAAATTAATCACGGTTTTCGCCCACCTGTGTCCTGACTCCTGACATTTTAATAATTAATGACGGATCGGGCGACCGGGTGTTGATGACGTCACTCCGTAATGACCACGTATGTGACGTAATATTGGGGTATACGTACTTGTCAACGGCTAATCACGTTGATTAATTGAGATAATTTACTGAAAATTGAGACGACTTATATATTGCGTATTATGTATAAGTAACGGTTGCAAAGCCATGCTGTCTGGAATTGAAAAATTATTGAGGATAAATAAAAAATAAATAAAAATGATAAATAGAAAAAATAAATAAATTCATATATTGATAAATACTGCCTATATACTACTACATAGAGTTATGCTCTACTTGATCGAAACTATGTTTTATATTATTTATTTCACCAATCACACAACTTTGCAGAATATTAATTCTAACATGAGAGTGAGTTAAGTTAATTATTTAATAATGGAATTTTTAATTGCATAATTTAATGTATTTTTCCTTTGTGATGCATCATATATAAATTTATTAAAAATACGCTTTCTTACAGGACGTTTACTGAAAAGAAAATTTACGTGATGCTAATAATTACAGTCCTATTAGGATTACTTTAGTTTTTCGATTGTCGTATTGTTTTGCAATTCCCTTTACACATTTATTCCAATTGTTTTTTTTTTTATAATCTGATTGTGTAATTGGAGAAATAATCTCAACAAACAAACTCTCCCTTTATAATTAGCAAATGTATTTGGGTACTAATATAGCTAAGAATACTCTTTAAGGATTATAAAAAAAAATTAAACCTCAGATTAATTAAATAACAGGATTCATTAATAGCTCATGCATTTTTAAACGCAAAAAAGCTCAAACCATTTTTCCAGCTCATCGCGTTTATGTATCGTCAGACTGTGTTTGTCAAACTTCGTACCACATGGACAATGTTAGCGGCAGGTTTTAATTAAAATCAAGTTATCCGTGATCGATGAATGGGCCACACGATTCTCGTTACTGCGACCGTCCTTTGGACAAATTGAGTGTCACCGAGGGACGCTATTATTACTTTTTAACACTCGTCCAGACATATTGCATTTGAGAATAAGCGGGAAAGCTTATTTTAAACTTTTATTTCCTCTGAGATTTTTCTTCACGGTCTAGTCAATAAGCAATTTTAAGGTTTATAGCTTGTTTACTTGTTAGGAGTGATTTTTCTATGTATATAATTTGAACAGTCATAATGTTAGGAAGTTTTTTACTACGGCAGATATTATTTCTATCCTGATGGACATTTGTATATTTTTATGTTTACATCATCATATATTGATATTTGAATTATTATCGATTTACTTATGCTGTTTTATATATAACGTTTAGAGGAACAATAGAGTACCTAAGTATAAAAGCTTAGTGTTATGAATCTTTCAAAAATACTTTTACTCAGCTTGATAAAAATTAAGTAATCTATGAACAAAAATATGAATTTACTTACTTACGTTTTTCGATTTAGTTATATATAAATTATTCAATAATTTTGAAGTCTCTGCAACAATTCATATCATTATAGATATTGTGATAAAATAAATGAAATTAACTAATTTTATTAACAGTAATGAATTTTAACTACATATTATCATAAGGTAACCCGCGATTTTATGTTTATTTAAAGTTTTGTGTATCCGCTTCCAAAATGTGCATTATATATATGTAATACATGTCCTGCCGTTACAGTTACGTAAAAAGGGAACAAAAATATCGGCACCATTCGTACATTCCACTTTACTGGTGTTTAATTAATACGGCAGCGACACAGGCTGTGAAATAACTCTTATTTAATGTCCCTTTAGTCTGGTCAGCTGCGTCCATATGCACCAAAGAGATTACCGAATTACTGCACAATACTCCTAACTCGAGTACCTGAAAAGCCAAATAGCCCAATTCTGCTAATGCACAGAACGCATATAGTTTGAGAATCATTAGTTATGTTAGAACTATCGTCGTTTAATATGCCGTGCCGTCATAGGATCTTAAGGTAATCGTGAACATCAAAATTAAAATTAATAAATATAAATTATTTTAGTCTTATCTACAATACAATATCATTTTACTAATACGTATAACATACTAAGTATGCATATAAACAGATATTATTTTTACGTTATATATTGCTTACAGACAAGCTATATATTATAATATGTAAATGTTTTTTTTTCAAATAACAGCATTTCCGCGGTCACTGCTGCAAAACCAAAATGTCGGGCCGTAGTTTAAATTCAGTTACCTGATATAGTTCGCGTTTAAAACCCTTAAAGTCAAATCAGAAATCAAAATGAATCTAATAGGACGTATTTTACGCAACTGAGGCTAGCTGGTCTTTCTGTAAGAGACACTGTAAGAAGAAGTATCATAAAGTTATTTCTTGTTTCAGAAATGCGACATTCCTAGAACCCCACCTTCAAGGCGTGAGACGGCGTGACAGTCGGAGCTCGGATTCAGACCACGACGAGCGCTCTACAGAAGATGACGAAAAGTCCCTCATTCGAAGTTCACCAAGAACCAGACCACACCCCCCACCGCCGCCAGACGATGAACCGCCGCCGATGAAACCGAGAGAGTTCTTTGAGAAACTACAGAGCCAAGCAATGAGAGAGGCGCAAGATAGAAAGCAGAGAAGAGATATAGCGATCAAAGAAACGAACCAACTCTTCAGGCCGCTGGATACAGATGGGAGTTTGGGGGATAGTTTGAGTCAGGTATGTTAAAACCTTCTCATATCTTCATTAACTTGTAATTAGGAACAATGAATGGGACGGAACCTTAACTATTAACTTGTATCTTTAATATTAACTATTGTTGAATAAGACCGATTTAAAAAATATCAAGAATAGAAAAAAATTACCAAAATTTTTATGTTTCTTTACGTCATAACTTAAAAAAAATACAAGTTGTAAGAGATAGACAACATAATTATATGATTCTAGTTTAATATTTAAACATTAGAAATATATAATTTAAAAATTGAAAATAATCCGGCATTATCCAAGCTACCAATTGAGCTACCGAGTCTTGTAGTTTAACAACAGCAGGAACTGACATGCCGATTCAAGTCCTTTCCAAAACAAGAACATTTTTAAATTATTTTCGAATTTTAAAAATATGTGCCTTCATGTGCACATGCAAAAAAAATAAAGTTTTCAAACATTAGAAATGTACTTTCTTAGTCATATTATACAGCGTGTGAAGGAATTCTGGTGTAAGCAATATTTCTTATGTTCAGAGGTAATTTAATACGAGTACAGTAAAAGATCGGAGTAAGTAAGAGGTAGTAGAATAAATATATTCAGTGATGTATAGTTTTGTTTTATAGAACAACCAGTGCATAAAAGAAACTATATAGAACGCTTTAATTAACAGCGCAAAAAGCTCTAGTTCCCGAACTCGTCTTCAACTTCCAGGTCGTTTACATTGAAAACTCGGTGGAAGCGCATTGCGAGCGCTGTATTGAAATAAAATTAGATTAAAGCCGTCTATTTGTGCTCCAAATGGACCGATTGTGGATCTGGCTTGTCGGAACTGTGAATTCCCAGCATCCTTCTATTTTGCTTCCATTACCATATGAATATCGTGTACCGTCAAACGAAACGTCGATTCTACCCGCGGAATTAAATTCTAAATTTGAATGGGTGCCGCAAATGAGGTATTATTTCCCTTTGTCCCGTGTTTTTATTTACTCGGCGGAGGAAAACGAAACTTCGTTATAGAGATAATGTTCTTGACATTTCGTGGTCTTTATTAAAATTCGGTATGAAAGAAGCGGAAGGCTTTGTTTGAAACGCGGCTCACTTAAGTCATAATGGAAAAGTAATATACAAGTATATACATACTTACATATAGATACGAGTATATTTTTGAAATGTTTGGAATGCCTTAAGAGTTAATTTTAATGTGATCTTATGTTTTTCATTTTACTAGGATTACTTAATCCCAAATTACTTTTTTTATATTCGTACTTCTTAGTTCGCGTAGTTAACGATAGTACACATTTAAATAAAACGCTTGAACGGTTTAAAACGACATATATACCGTGACCACGATATCTGCAAAGCATCCGACCGTATTTAAAATAATTTTCAAATATATCGCGTTTTAAACCGTTTTTTTACATTTTAGCATCTAAATAAACGATACTTGTATTAAGAATGCACGAGTATAGAGTACAAACTTAATTAATCTATTTTACTGGTGTCAAACGCGATATATACGAAGTGTGTGGTCGGGGCAAAAGTCGGATTAACAACAAACAAGAACAATGTCTAGCTAATACCTATATCAGCATTGTCTAGTGTTGAATCTCCTTGTAAATATTTAGTTTCAGTCCTAATTGTTTGCGCCAAAATGCTGTTGCATTTTCGAGTAATGGCGGCACAATATTTACGCACAGCGCGGCTGCACTTGAAATGCACTTACGGACCGTGACAAAAGCACTCTTGAGGTGTGGAACTCCAGTCAATTGTGTTGCTTGAATGCTTGAAACCCTACCATCCCCCACCGGCGATTGTTGACGCGTTTCGGTTAAGCGTTACATTTGCTGATACGAGGAAGCTAAATTGTTTTCGGGAGAATAAGTTACGTCTTTTACGAAGCAAGTTATAAACAGTTTTAATACTGTACATTTCTGTAGTCCTATATGTTGGAGATGGTTTTTTTTCCGAAATCCACAGACTGAAATTGAAACGCGATTAAATTTGACGGTGTTTTCATTTGTGCTCGGTGGTTCGTGAGCCGGACGATATTCGGATAGTCCTACCATTAAATACTGTCTATAGTTTACGCGAGTAGTGCACTTTTAAATAAAACACTTTGACGGTTTAAAACGCGATATGTTAGTTAAACTGTTAGTTTACTTTTACATCAGAGATATCCCTTATCTTTGTTTCGTGATTTTAGGTTTAAAACAGATATTATTTGAAAATGACTTAACCGGCCCGACGTTTCGGATGCTTTGCAGCAGCCGTCTCCTCGTGACCACGTCTGCTGTGTGTAAATGTATAGTACTCGCGTAAACTATAGACAGTATTTAATTTAACTCTGTATTAACATTATTATGTTTCTTGTTTTAAACCGTTAAAAGTCTTTTATTGAATGATAATAATATTAAGCACCCATTGCAAATATTGAAATCTGAGAGATATTAAGACATTCAAACATTCCCAGTTGATCTAGCTCAATTAACTTAATGACGGAAGTGACTTGTCTGAAAACTTCAGTGCAAATTCAAAACTCTAAATACAGTTAACGAGCGGTTAATTTCAGTATTGTGAAGGAGCCATTTTGTCCGGGTCCCGTCACATCCGGGCGTTCCCCCCTGCAGTTAATCGACGCGTGAAAAGAAAACCCCTGAATAATTTGCGAAGTGCAGCCGATTCACTGCTTGCTGCTTCCGCCGCGATAAATGCAGTATTCAGTTAGATTTCTTTTTGGTATAATCGCACGCGTTGTTAGAAATGAAAGCTTTGTTCTACCACTTGAATACATCAAAACGTGCGCCTTTTAAAGTGTAAGGCTTTATTTAATATTTACGGAGGGAATTTATTTTGTATTGTTTACTATACTCTACAAGTATAGTGCACATTCAAATATAATACTTTTAACGGATTTAGATGCAAAAATATTATTAACTTATTTTTTAATAAAACACTTCACGGTTAACCGTTTGATATTTTTGAAATTTCCCCCGGGGCCACGGCTGCTGCAAAGCATCCGAAACGTCGGGCCGAAATTAAAAATCATTTTCAAATAAGTTTAATTAATATATCGCGTTTTAAACCGTTAAAGTGTTTTATTTAAATGTGTACTACTCGCGTAAACTATAGACAGTATTTAACTTATTTTTGTTTTGCAGCAGCCGGGGTAAGCTATTGATTTATGAATAAATTTAAGTATTTTGTCAAAAAAACGTAAACGTCACCCTGGATGGGATTCAAACCTACACCGTAGGTTTACCAGTCGTAGGTTTGACTTTTCAACGTCTACTTTAAATTTATCTATTTTAGCTTTATGTTTAAACTGAAGATAAATGTTTAAACAATGCGTTAATTGGGAGAGGTCCTGGGTTCGGATTCCGGGGAAGCAAAAGATTGTTTTGTTCAGGCAGGATACAGTCTGATCAACGACATTATAATAAAATTTTTGACGTATTATGTAGAACGAAAATCACAATATACTTGTCTAATAGCTCAAGCCCGTGACGTGTTGGATTCAATACCCGCCACTGTACTTCAATTCATTATATCATAAAGCACAAAGACACACACAATTTAGTAAATTGACGATTAATTTGCTAAGGATCCTGTACCCTGAACAATGACATGGAATGCTCTCAAAGGAGTATCCGAACTGGCAATCGGGGATAATTACCCCCACTCACAATGTCACATGTGATGTTGGTCTCTTGTGGTTACCCTTTTTGTCATGTACTCTCCTTATCTTTGTACATATTATAACTGAGTAACATTTGGACTCCCTACTGTATTAATGTTATTAATATATTAGATATGTAGTTCTTGGAAATAGACCTACTATCCGACATTTTTGTAGATCGTTCATACACATTTTTTGGTTTCCTCAACCGTTTTCACACGCTGGAACTCACTTAGCCGAAACCCACGAAGGTTAATAATTTTCCCCATTTTTTCTACATTTTTTATTGTCTTTACGACTGCCTTTACGCTCCTATTGGTCGCAGCGCGATGCTAAATAATCTAAAGCCTTCAATGATCGCACCAGTTGTGCCGAATATTAGATGTTTAAACAAACTCTTCAAAAAAAACCTACAAAAGCGAAATTTTTATTTTTGTCTTTTTTACGTTAATTTTGAACTCTTCAGGGCCAAATATATACGATTTGTTATCTTAGTTTACTATAAAAGCAACGAAACGATTACACCTATATGGCTGAATCAAAATTAACGGGTTTCTTGCGAGCAGTTGCAAACACCGTAAGAAAGCCATTAGAGATAGCATCAGGTGCCGCTAATTAGACTGGACTGATAAAAACAAATGAACCATACAAATACAGAACAATACCATCTTCATTGTGTCTAAAAAATAAATAAAATAAACCCTTATTGCTAATTACGTAATTATATTGTATACTAGACAGATCTTTCAAAAATAAACAGCATTGTCTTAACTAGTTAATTACGGTAGGTAATATTATGGTCAACAGTACGATTTTTTCATTACATAGTTTATAAAAACATAATAGCTTACATTGCATTCAATACTATAAATGTTTGTATATTACAAAAAAATCTCTAAATAAAAATATCTAATATCTATTTACTTACTATTAATGATTATTTTTTTGTTAGATGTCCACATTTACCGTATTGTTCATCTATGAATTAATTAATAATATACAAGGAAACCTCAGTTATGTATGTAAATGCCTGAGATTGTTATTGCTTTAAACAACACCTTAGTTACACTATTAAGTTGTAATAAAAAGAAGTTTAAATGAAATTCACAGTTTTGATTCTCGCTATAAAACTAATGGAGGACTCATTAAAAGTATCAAAACATCCACAATTTACAGCGAAATACTGAAAACCGAAGCGAGCGAGGCGAAGCGAACTTTTAACGAGCGGGATCGAGTATATACCTTCTAGAAAAAAACGGTCAAGTGCGAGACACACGCGCGCTTGACGGGTTCTGCGAACATTTAACAGTTTGTGTTCGGGAATCCTATTTTA